AACCCTTCCCAATCTACACCCCACCTAACCCCCACAATCTACAACCCCACCTAAACTCCACAATCTACACCCCACCTAACCCTTCCCACAATCTACACCCCACCTAACCCTTATCACAATCTACACCCCACCTAACCCCACAATCTACACCCCACCTAAACCCACAATCTACAACCCCACCTAACACTTCCCACAATCTACACCCCACCTAACCCTCCCCACAATCTACACCCCACCTAACCCCACAATCTACACCCCACCTAAACCCACAATCTACACCCCACCTAACCCACAATCTACACCGCTACCTAACCTTCCCACAATCTACACCCACCTAACCCTTCCACAATCTACAACCCCACCTAACACTTCCCACAATCTACACCCCACCTAACCCCCCCACAATTTACACCCTACCATAACCCTTCCCACAATCTACACCCTACCTAACCCTTTCCACAATCTACACCCACCTAACCCTTCCCACAATCTACACCCCACCTAACCCTTCCCACAATCTACACCCCACCTAACCACACAATCTACACCCCACCTAACCCTTCCCACAATCTACACCCCACCTAAACCTTCCACAATCTATCACCCACCTAACCCTTCCACAATCTACACCCCACCTAACCCCACAATCTACACCCCACCTAAAACCCACAATCTACACACCACCTAACCCTTCCCACAATCTACACCCAACCTAACCCTTATCACAATCTACACCCCACCTAACCCCACAATCTACACCCCACCTAAACCCTCAATCTACACCCCACCTAACACTTCCCACAATCTACACCCCACCTAACCCTCCCCACAATCTACACCCCACCTAACCCCACAATCTACACACCCACCTAAACCCACAATCTACACCCCACCTAACCCCACAATCTACACCGCACCTAACCCTTCCCACAATCTACACCCCACCTAACCCTTCCCACAATCTACACCCCACCTAACCATTCCCACAATCTACACCCCACCTAACCCTCCCCACATTTACACCCTACCTAACCCTTCCCACAATCTACACCCTACCTAACCCTTTCCACAATCTACACCCCACCTAACCCTTCCCACAATCTACACCCCACCTAACCCTTCCCACAATCTACACCCCACCTAACCACACAATCTACAACCCCACCTAACCCTTCCCACAATCTACACCCCACCTAACCCTTCCCACAATCTACACCCCACCTAACCCTTCCCACAATCTACACCCCCAACCTAATTCCACAATCTACACCCCACCTAAACCCCACAATCTACACCCCACCTAACCCTTCCCACAATCTACACCCCACCTAACCCTTATCACAATCTACACCCCACCTAACCCCACAATCTACACCCCACCTAAACCCACAATCTACACCCCACCTAACACTTCCCACAATCTACACCCCACCCTAACCCTCCCCACAATCTACACCCCACCTAACCCCACAATCTACACCCCACCTAAACCCACAATCTACACTCCACCTAACCCCACAATCTACACCGCACCTAAACCCTTCCCACAATCTACACCCCACCTAACCCTTCCCACAATCTACACCCCACCTAACCCTTCCCACAATCTACACCCCACCTAACCCTTCCCACAATCTACACCCCACCTAACACTTCCCCACAATCTACACCCCACCTAACCCTTCCCACAATCTACACCCCACCTAACCCTTCCCACAATCTACACCCCACCTAACCCTTCCACAATCTACACCCCACCTAACCCTTCCCTCAATCTACACCCCACCTAACACTTCCCACAATCTACACCCCACCTAACCCTTCCCACAATCTACACCCCCACCTAACCTTTCCCCACAATCTACACCCCACCTAACCCTTCCCACAATCTACACCCCACCTAACCCTTCCCACAATCTACACCCCACCTAACCCTTCCCACAATCTACACCCCACCTAACCCTTTCCCACAATCTACACCCCACCTAACCCTTCCCACAATCTACACCCCACCTAACACTTCCCACAATCTACAACCCCACCTAACCCCACAATCTACACCCCACCTAAACCCACAATCTACACCCCACCTAACCCTTCCCACCAATCTACACCCCACCTAACCCTTCCCCACAATCTACACCCCACCTAACCCCACAATCTACACCCCACCTAAACCCACAATCTACACCCACCTAACCCTTCCCACAATCTACACCCCACCTACCCTTACCCACAATCTACACCCCACCTAACCCCCACAATCTACACCCCACCTAAACCCACAATCCACACCCCACCTAACCCTCCCACAATCTACACCCCACCTAACCCTCCCACAATCAACACCCCACCAAACCCCACAATCACAACCCCACCTAAACCCACAACCAACACCCCACCAAACCCCACAATCTACACCCACCTAACCCTTCCCACAATCTACACCCCACCTAACCCTTCCCACAACAACACCCCACCAACCCCTTCCCACAATCCAACACCCCACCACAACCCTCCCACAACAACACCCCACCAACCCTACCACAACTACACCCCACCAACCCACAACAATCTACACCCCACCTAACCCATCCCACAACAACACCCCACCAACCCACCCCACAATCAACCACCCCAACCTAACCACCCACAACCTACACCCCACCAAACACTCCACACAAACCCCACCAACCACCCCACAACAACACCCCACCAACCCAACCCAACAACAACACCCCACCAACCCAACCCACAACCAACACCCCACCTAACCCAACCCACAATCACACCCCACCTAACCCAACCCACAAACACAACCCCACCTAACCACCCCAACTACACCCCAACCTAACCCCCCACAATCACAACCCCACCAACAACCCACACCAACACCCCACCAAACCCCACCAATCTACACCCCACCCAACACCCCACAACCCACAACCCCACCCAACCCACCCCAACCACACCCCCAAACCCACCCCACACAACACCCCAACCCAACCCCCAACAACAACCCCACCAACCAACCACACCCCACCAACCCAACAACACAACCCACAACCAACAACCCAACCCCACCACACCCCACCCAACCCTCCCAACAACCTCACAACCAACCCACCCCACAACACCCAACCCCCACAACCACAACCCCACCAACCCCCCAACCAACCCAACCAACCCCACAACAACCACACCCCAACCCAACCCACCACAACCCACCCCACAACCCACCAAACCAACCCCACCAACCAACACAATCACACCCCACCAACCCTCCCACAACACACACCCCACCCAACCCACAAACACACCCCACCAACCCTCCCACAACACACCCCACCAAACCCATATCACAATCTACACCCCACCTAACCCTCCTACAATCACACCCCAACTAACCCTCCACAACCACAACACCCCACCCTAACCACACAATTACACCCCACCAAACCCTCCCACAACTACACCCCCACCAAACCCTCCCACAATCTACACCCCACCTACACTCCCACAAACTACACCCCACCTAACCCCACAACTACAACCCCACCTAAACCCACAATCAACACCCCCAACCAAACCCCACAAACAACACCACACCTAACCCTCCCACAATCTACACCCACCAAACCCTCCCACAATCACACCCCACCTAACCCTTATCCCACAATCTACAACCCCACCTAACCCTTCCCACAACTACACCCCCAACCCTAACCACTCACACACACCCCAACCTCACAACACCCACCTAACCCCACACTCCCACCAAACCTCACACCCCCACCTAAACCCTTATCACAATCTACACCCCACATTCCCACAATCTACACCCCACCTAACACTTCCCACAATCTACACCTCACCTAACCCTTCCCACAATCTACACCTCACCTAACACTTCCCACAATCTACACCCCACCTAACCCTCCCCACAATCTACACCCCACCTAACCCCACAATCTACACCGCACCTAACCCTTCCCACAATCTACACCCCACCTAACCCTTCCCATAATCTATACCCCACCTAAACCCACAATCTACACCGCACCTAACCCTTCCCACAATCTACACCCCACCTAACCCTTCCCACAATCTACACCCCACCTAACCCTTCCCACAATCTACACCCCACCTAACCCTTCCCACAATCTACACCCCACCTAACCCTTCCCACAATCTACACCCCACCTAACCCTTCCCACAATCTACACCCCACCTAACCCTTCCCACAATCTACACCCCACCTAACCCCACAATCTACACCCCACCTAAACCCACAATCTACACCCCACCTAACCCTTCCCACAATCTACACCCCACCTAACCCTTCCCACAATCTACACCCCACCTAACCCCACAATCTACACCCCACCTAACCCCACAATCTACATCCCACCTAAACCCACAATCTACACCCCACCTAACCCTTCCCACAATCTACACCCCCACCTAACCCTTCCCACAATCTACACCCCACCTAACCCTTCCCACAATCTACACCCCACCTAACCCTTCCCACAATCTACACCCCACCTAACCCTTCCCACAATCTACACCCCACCTAAACCCACAATCTACACCCCACCTAACCACACAATCTACACCCCACCTAACCCCACAATTTTCACCCCACCTAACCCTTCCCACAATCTACACCCCACCTAACCCTTCCCACAATCTACACCCCACCTAACCCTTCCCACAATATACACCCCAGCCCACTCTCCGACCTCTATGTCCCTCGTATTGATGGCCAATGACGTCATTTTCAGCCAACGCTCCAGAACCGTCATGGCTGACCCAATATTTAACGGAGGTCTGCGAGGTCTTGGAGAGACCGTCGGTTGCTATCGCCGTCTTCATCATTGGGGTCGTCTTGATTGTTGTCGGCAGCAGAGAGGTCAAGTGGACCCTTGAACTTTTGGAAAGATTCGGGGTGAGTACAATGTGGTGATAGAAATTTTACACACACAAACACACACACTACACACACACACATGAATAGAAATAAAATGTGACCACGAGCTATATTTCGGAATTAGATGTTAAAAAAAATTGTTATCTGAAACAGCAAAAGGAGGTGGGGTTAGTTAAATTTTGTTTTCTTTCAGCTGGCCGAGAAGCCTCAAGACACCATGGTTGTTGGTAACTTCATGGCGGTGTTCGTGTTTTTCTTCATCTGGATCGATATTATTGTGCTCCTCTATCTCAAGCGCTTGTTTTTCGCGATAGGAGGCTATCTTGGCAGGTAATGGTCAGTGGGTTGGTAGTGGGTTGGTAGTGGGTTGGTTAATTGGTTGGCCGGTGGGTTGGTCAGTGGGCTGGTCAGTGGGATGGTAGTGGGTTGGTTAATTGGTTGGTCGGTGGGTTGGTAGTGGGTTTTTCAGTGGGCTATTCGATGGGTTGACCCATCGGTTGGTCAGTGGGTTGGTCATTCTGTTGGTCATTGGGTTGGTCAGTTGGCTGGTCAATGGGCTGGCTCGCCGAAAGGTAAGTGGGTTAGTTGATGGGTTGACCCGTCGGTTGGCTAGTGGGTTGGCCCGGGGGTTATTCGTTCGGTTGGTCAGTGAGTTGGTCAGTGCGAGGGTCAGTGTGTTGGGGTGGAAAGTGGGGAGGTTAGTGCGTTGGTTAGTGTATAGGTGAGTAGGTTGGTCAGTGAGTTGGTCAGTGCGAGGGTCAGTGTGTTGGGGTGGAAAGTGGGGAGGTTAGTGCGTTGGTTAGTGTATAGGTGAGTAGGTTGGTCAGTGAGTTGGTCAGTGCGAGGGTCAGTGTGTTGGGGTGGAAAGTGGGGAGGTTAGTGCGTTGGTTAGTGTATAGGTGAGTAGGTTGGTCAGTGGGTTGGTTAGTGTGTTGGTGAGTGGGTTGGTCAGTGGGTTGGTGGGTGGGTTGGTCAGTGGGTTGGTTAGTGGGTTGGTTAGTGTATAGGTGAGTGGGTTGGTCAGTGGGTTGGTTAGTGTGTTGGTGGGTGGGTTGGTCAGTGGGTTGGTTAGTGGGTTGGTGGGTGGGTTGGTCAGTGTGTTGGTGGGTGGGTTGGTCAGTGGGTTGGTCAGTGGGTTGGTTAGTGGGTTGGTGGGTGGGTTGGTCAGTGTGTTGGTGGGTGGGTTGGTCAGTGGGTTGGTTAGTGTGTTGGATCTGGTTTGGTCAGTGTGTTGGTGGGTGGGTTACACTGGGTTGGTCATGGACAGTGAAGTTTGAAACGGGCTGTACTTACTGCCCAGCAAAGTTTTCACCTGACCAACCAGTGCAACCCCAGCACGTGCAGCTGAAGTCTCAGATAAACAAAGAGATAACATCAAAACCCCACGACAAATTATCACACACTTAATATCTTAAATCCGTATATTCTCTTTGCCAATTTAGAAGGAACAGCCTCGTGATTTATTGATGTATTGTATTTTAAATGCATTTTTTCTTAGCTCTGGTAATAGTTTATTTTATTTTACGATAACTGGATAGCAAATTTTTAATTTGATTACGATAACTGGACAACAACGGTTCAGTTTGTTTACGATAACTGAACAGGAACTGTTTGTTTATGATAACTGGACGATAACTGGACAGCAACTGTTTGTTTACGATAACTAAACAGCAACTGTTTAATGTGTTTGCGATAACTAGACAGCAACTGTTTGTTTACGATAACTTCATGATCTCAGGTATTACGCCAAAGCTCAACATGCCTTGTTCTCGGCCCACCAGAGCGACCAGCAAGAAGATGATGATGACAAGAAAAAGAAGAAGCGAGGTAAGAGATTACGTCAAACAAAATTTTATTTGTCCAAAACAGAAACTATTGGCGCAGCTAGGCATTTTTTGTAGCTAGTGACACATAAACGGAGCGTAGCTGTAACCAAAAGATTACATCTAACCCTAACCTTAAAAGAAAAAAGAATTATATTTTCTGTAATGGACTAAAGATTAAATTACTTAAGTAAAATTATGCTTAAACCAGAGGGAGTGCTAGTATTAGAGGAGGCGCCACAAGCTGATCAGAAAAACGTAAGCCTTCAATATAAAAAATATTTTGAATAAGGACACCATTATTATTTTATACATTCGGTTAATCTCAGCATACTCAATATCAAACGAAGTTTTCGATGTACCAATAATTCCTGAGTTAGAGGCTTCATTTGGTTGCTGCAATTAAAAATGATTCCACCAACTGTTTCTTCATTGGATGTTCCGACCCACGGAATGGATACAAATATCCATGGTCGAACTATCCACGGGCAAAAAGTTTTCTTTGTGCTAAAACTTCGCCAGACATGGTGTGGTCTGTCTATTTAAAACATATCAGACAATTTAGCTGATATCTCTAGGTACTTGTGATCAGTGATTTTTCCGGGAATTTTAATCATAATTGGCAGATCTTCAAACACTCGTTAAAACTAAGAATTTGAAGTAATTTGAACACAGAGTATACTCGAATTGTCAATTATGTCAGAAATATGGACACTGAACGCAAGTAGCCGCAGAGGCGTAGCGACCCCTCCCGGTGCCCGGGGACAAACTTTCAATTTGGCGCCCCCCCCCTCCCCACCCCCCATATATTTTTATGTTTATAATTCAAAACTGCAGCTAAAATGAGTTTTTAATGGGGGTTTTTTTTCGGCGTCCGGGGACGTGTAACCCCCCCCCCCCCCCCCCCCCCCCCTCCCCCCTTCGCTACGTCTCTGAGCAGCCGAAATAATAGACATAGAATTTGCAAACAAAAGGTCAAACTATTTTATTCTTTGTACCAACTTCCAGCTTGAACTGATAGAAAACGAGAGATGTACATCACTAGAAGATTTGGTTTCAGATGGGTCAAAGGTCATTAGGAAAACAACTTCAACGGTCAGCTTTGGTTTGGTGCTTTTACTTTTACTAAAAACTGGCCACAATTTGATATTTAGACGACTAAATTGTATGTAACTAAGATTTTCATTCTCTGGCCACATTTTAAAAAAATCTGTTGACAATTAATTTCTAGGTAACTAAAACCCCCATCCCAGATTTTGGAAAAGTTAGGATATGCAATAGTGACTGTACGGGCAGTAGCTATAGGTTCTTGTTTGAATGTGTTATTTACACGTACGAAGTGCGCCTGTGCATGATTGGTCGACCGTGGTTGATTAATAATTTTTTTAACAACTAATTCATTACATGATGTCGTTGCTTCGAGTGGACGATTTGGCAAAGATTTAAATTTAAATATAATTCACAACAGCATTTTAAAAATTTAAGTAACTTTTTTTTAACAATATAGAATTATATATTTCTACATTTTTTGTAAACACATTTAAAGAGCATATGCTGATATGTTTTGTATAATGGCTGGAAATGTATACATTTTGTTTGAGATAGCTAAGAACAACTATATATACATATGTATATATATATTCGTTGAGTGTAAGTAAAATAATTCATGCATGTGTAATGTCGTTTGACTGTGAGTGATAAGCCATCCATCTGTATTTATCATTTATTAATAAAAGCTTGCTAGTAAAGAGCCAAAAAAGTCAATTTAATGAGTTTGTTTGCTTGAATGGGTGTATAAAACCTAACAATAAGATTAGTCATGAGTTTGTTTGCTTGGAAGGGTGTATAAAGCTAAAACCTAACAAAAAGATGAGTCGTAATTTTGCTAGCCTGTACGGGTGTATAAAACCTAACAAAATTTTTTGTTTGCTTTAGTCGCTGCATCAAATCTACACATTCACCCTACTGCATTTTTCTGATAGCTTAAACTGAACCTGTGCTATAGAAGCCAAATGTGGCTGCGGTGTGTGTGTGTGTGTGTGTGTGTGTGTGTGTGTGTGTGTGTGTGTGTATGTGTGTGTGTGTGACACATCCAGCTGAATCAAAGCAAATGAAACCGACTAAATAATGTATGCAGCAACATATAATTTGTTCATTAACATTTGCTACCAGAGCCTTGGACCCCATCCATAACCATCTACGTGGTTCTAAGTCAAATCCTATTGACTACTGTTTCTCAAGACCATAGTTAGGCTAGAGTAAAAACCCATCGACAATTCCTAGACCATAGTTAGGCTAGAGTAAAAACCCATCGACCATAGTTAAGCTAGAGTAAAAACCCATCGACCATAGTTAGGCTAGAGTAAAAACCCATCGACCACCCCTAGACCATAGTTAGGCTAGAGTAAAAACTCATGAACCACCCCTAGACCATAGTTAGGCTAGAGTAAAAACCCATCGACCATAGTTAGGCTAGAGTAAAAACCCATCGACCATAGTTAAGCTAGAGTAAAAACCCATCGACCATAGTTAGGCTAGAGTAAAAACCCATCGACCACCCCTAGACCATAGTTAGGCTAGAGTAAAAACTCATGAACCACCCCTAGACCATAGTTAGGCTAGAGTAAAAACCCATCGACCATAGTTAGGCTAGAGTAAAACCCATCGACCATAGTTAAGCTAGAGTAAAAACTCATGAACCACCCCTAGACCATAGTTAAGCTAGAGTAAAAACCCATCGACCATTCCTAGACCATAGTTAGGCTAAAGTAAAAGCCCATCGACCACCTTTAGACCGTTGCACAAGTGGAAACATCCCCCCCAAGTACTTGCTCATTTGACCCCCGCAAAAGCCACATTTGACACCCTCACCCCCCCCCCCACCTCACAAAGGTCACTGTGTTAAAGGTCGTGTTAACAATTACCACAAGTATTTAGCTGCCAGTGTTGTTAGCTCTCATTAGCTCCACAACTGTGTTGGTTCTCGGTTCTGTTGGTTCCAGTCTAAGCTGGTCTGTGGGTACCACCGTGTTGGTTCTCGGTTCTGTTGGTTCCAGTCTAAGCTGGTCTGTGGGTACCACTGTGTTGGTTCTCGGTTCTGTTGGTTCCAGTCTAAGCTGGTCTGTGGGTACCACCGTGTTGGTTCTCGGTTCTGTTGGTTCCAGTCTAAGCTGGTCTGTGGGTACCACCGTGTTGGTTCTCGGCTCTGTTGGTTCCAGTCTAAGCTGGTCTGTGGGTACCACTGTGTTGGTCTCGGTTCTGTTTGTTCCAGTCTAAGCTGGTCTGTGGGTACCACTGTGTAGGTTCTAGTTTCTGTTGGTTCCAGTCTAAGCTGGTCTGTGGGTACCACTGTGTTGGTTCTAGTTTCTGTTGGTTCCAGTCTAAGCTGGTCTGTGGGTACCACCGTGTTGGTCTCGGTTCTGTTGGTTCCAGTCTAAGCTGGTCTGTGGATACCACCGTGTTGGTTCTCGGTTCTGTTGGTTCCAGTCTAAGCTGGTCTGTGGGTACCACTGTGTTGGTTCTCGGTTCTGTTGGTTCCAGTCTAAGCTGGTCTGTGGGTACCACTGTGTTGGTTCTAGTTTCTGTTGGTTCCAGTCTAAGCTGGTCTGTTGGTACCACTGTGTTGGTTCTAGTTTCTGTTGGTTCCAGTCTAAGCTGGTCTGTGAGTACTTCAGCTACCGGGGGTTTCTGACCAAACAAGAGTACAGCTAGGATAGGCTGGGTCTGGGGTTGCTACAAACTGACCCCTGGGTCTGGGGTTGATACAAACTGACCCCTGGGTCTGGGGTTGATACAAACTGACCCCTGGGTCTGGGGTTGCTACAAACTGACCCCTGGGTCTGGGGTTGCTACAAACTGACCCCTGGGTCTGGGGTTGCTACAAACTGACCCCTGGGTCTGGGGTTGCTACAAACTGACCCCTGGGTCTGGGGTTGCTACAAACTGACCCCAGGGTCTGGGGTTGCTACAAACTGACCCCTGGGTCTGGGGTTGCTACAAACTGACCCCTGGGTCTGGGGTTGCTACAAACTGACCCCTGGGTCTGGGGTTGCTACAAACTGACCCCAGGGTCTGGGGTTGCTACAAACTGACCCCTGGGTCTGGGGTTGCTACAAACTGACCCCTGGGTCTGGGGTTGCTACAAACTGACCCCTGGGTCTGGGGTTGATACAAACTGAGCCCAGTATTTGACGACACAGCTTAAGGGTCATCCACGCAACTTTGGCGATTTCTACCTCAGTCGTCATAAAAAGTCAACCCACCAATTTAAAATGACATCACACTCCCCCGTGATCAGTGTCAACAGGTATTCCTTTTGTGGTATGGGCTGCTAACTACAGCTGTCGTGAGTTCCTGGCCCACCCCCACCCCGTCAAATAGCCATGATTCTTAAGTAAATAAATTTCTGTTATACTTCCTTTTCTTATATTATTCGAAATATACACTACGTCACATTTCTTACACCCCCCCCCTACTACGCGTAGCACATTGTCAGAGCTGTATCCCTACCCCAGGCGTGTACCATGATTTTGGACGCCCCCTAAACGCCCCCCCCCCCTCCCACCCACGTTAACAAATGTGAGTCTGAAGATACAAAACGATGCAAGTAAATCCAGCCATCCATGACCAGATAGAAGTGCAACCACGGGGCACCAAACTATTGATCACGTGATCAATAGGCTGGCTCACCATGGGCAACCTGAACACGAATGTCAACAATGGTGTGGTCACCTGTTCACAGGTACAGGGAGTTGTGATAGTCTCATCACATTCACAGGTGTCAGGTTTGTTTTGGTGGTGACACAGGTGTCAGGTTTGTTTTGGTGATGACACGTGGGTTAGGTTTATCTAACTGGTGACACGTAAGTAAGGTTTATCAAAGTGGTGACACGTAAGTCAGGTTTATCTAACTGGTGACACATAAGTCAGGCTAATCTAAGTTGTGACATAGGTGACATGTTTTTTTAACTGGTGACACATGTGTCAGGTTTGTCTAAGTGGTGGCACGTAAGTCAGGTTTGTCTAAGTGGTGACATAGGTGATAGGTTTGTCTAACGGTGACACGGGTATCAGGTTTGTTTGGTGGTAACACACGTGCCAGTTTATTTGCTGGTGACACGGGTGCTATGTTTGTGTAAGTGGTGACACACGGATGCAATGCGAATAAGTGGTGACACGGGTGCTATGTTTGTGTAAGTGGTGACACGGGTGCTATGTTTGTGTAAGTGGTGAAACACGAGGGCTATGTTTGTGTATGTGGTGACACACGGGTGGTATGTTTGTGTAAGTGGTGACACACGGATGCAATGTGAATAAGTGGTGACACTGGTGCTATGTTTGTGTAAGTGGTGACACACGGATGCAATGTGAATAAGTGGTGACACTGGTGCTATGTTTGTGTAAGTGGTGACACTGGTGCTATGTTTGTGTAAGTGGTGACACACGGATGCAATGTGAATAAGTGGTGACACGGGTGCTATGTTTGTGTAAGTGGTGACACGGGTGTCTGGCTTATTTCCTGGTGACTGACATATGGTGGCAGGCTTAAATTAACAGCCACACTTGTGTCTGGTGTATTTCCTAGTGAGACACACGTAGTTAATTCTCATCTGAAACAGGTGCACCAAGCCCATTGATGGGCGTTACATCCTAGTGAGTACTTCCCTACATTCTACTCACGCTGTGCGGGGTAAATTGTCACGTGACTGCTTTTAATGATGAGGTTTTAGATAATTGATTTTTTTGTTGTTTAGATGAATGGGCTCTGGCCCTCGGGTAAAGCCCCTAAAACGGTTGTCAGCTGGGGGTTAGCTGACAAGTTAGAGCGAGGCGACACGTTTGGCTTGATCTCGTGTTCACAGTCATGCTTCATGCTAATGATAACACAGGGGCCGCTTGCGTGTCAATGTAAACAACAGGGCCGCTGGTGTGTCAAGGTAAACAACAGGGCCAGACGTGTGTCAATGTAAACAACAGGGGCCGCTAGTGTGTCAATGTAAACAGGGTCGCTAGTGTGTCAATGTAAACAACAGGGCCGCTGGTGTGTCAATGTAAACAACAGGGGCCGCTAGTGTGTCAATGTAAACAACAGGGCCGCTAGTGTGTCAATGTAAACAACAGAAGCCTCTAGTGTGTCAATGTAAACAACAGGGCCGCTGGTGTTTCAATGTAAACAACCAACCGGCCCGCTAGTTTTTCAATGTAAACAACTGGGCCGCTAGTGTCGCAATGTAAACAACCAACCGGCCCGCTAGTGTGTCAATGTAAACAACTGGGCCGCTAGTGTCGCAATGTAAACAACCAACCGGCCCGCTAGTGTGTCAATGTAAACAACAGGGCCGCTAGTGTCAAGGTAAACAACAGGGCTGCTAGTGTGTCAATGTGAACAACAGGGGCGCTAGTGTCAATGTAAACAACAGGGGCGCTAGTGTGTCAAGGTAAACAACAGGGCCGCTAGTGTGTCAATGTAAACAACAGGGCCGCTAGTGTGTCAAGACAAACGTAACACTGACCGCTAGTGTGTCAAGACAAACGTAACACTGACCGCTAGTGTGTCAATGTAAACAACCGGGCCGCTAGTGTGTCAATGTAAACAACTGGGCCGCTAGTGTCGCAATGTAAACAACCAACCGGCCCGCTAGTGTGTCAATGTAAACAACAGGGCCGCTAGTGTCAAGGTAAACAACAGGGCTGCTAGTGTGTCAATGTGAACAACAGGGGCGCTAGTGTCAATGTAAACAACAGGGGCGCTAGTGTGTCAAT